ATTTTTACTTCATTTGATTTTTTTTTGTTTATTTTCTTTTTTTTTTTTTTCTTTTGGTTATCTCATTTACTTTTTTTATTTTTTTTTTTTTTTATTTTATTTGTTTATAGCGTTGTTTTTTATAAATTGTGTTTCTGTATCTCTTTTCTTATACTTTTTCTGTTTTGCCTTATTATTTATTTTTTTATTCTAAGGCAGGGAGCAATAGGCTTTCTGCTTTAGAGTCACAGTGGTGGCAACAGTCCAGGTAGCAGTCTACACAGTGAGTTACACAGCTGTTCAGGAGCTATTTTCTTTCCCCTCCTTCCTCAAGTGACAAATCAGGTGCAAGGAATGGAAACTCATATTGGGCAGGTAAAGGAATTTCCCAGGCTTAGAAGCTTTATGTCCTGGGTCATAAGCTGTTATAATTCCAGAGGCATAGCTTCCAGTGTCCCCATAAGGCACAAACTCAGTTATGAGAGTCCCATTGTCAAGTCCAAAGTATGGTTTATGTCCATGTATGTAGAGTTTCTCCCCATCCAGATGTAATTTACCAGTCAGAGATCATTTTAACCAAAAACAATATTGCCTATGTAATATAGTTGCCATAATACATTTATTGGTTTTCCAAGGAGATAGAGCTTGAATGTCAACCAAAGGTCAAATTCTTATTCAGGAGCTGTGCCTCTTATATCTAGATCTTAAATTTTAAGCTAGCAATAGAGACTGGGGAATGTGGAATACTGGAATGCAAACTAAAGGGTTTGGATTTAAGTAATGTTCAGGTTTTTGTATTTCTTACCTTAAAGACAGCATATGAAAAGACGTATCATGGTGTAAACTATGAAAATATTATAATACAAATAGGTTTCAGTTTTCAGTATGTCTTGAGAAGTTTAAATGCAGAAACCCGTATGTAGTCATTTAAAATATGCCATTATTTTTCTGGAATAGGATCGTGTACTTTCAAATTCACGGGAGGTAGAGTCCTGTGTAGCATTATACAAGAAATTAAACATCTACTGCTTACATTGTTGACCTTTTGTTTATTTTTTGTAAATATTAAGGTAGCATAAGTTATATGTTAAGATATCCTAGCGAAAACACACAATTTTCCAAGCCATATTTCCAAATAAGAAAGCCTAGAAGCTTAACCTCATGGTTCTTTCAGGTGATGGCCTCTCAAAGGGAAAAAGTCAGCAGGCAGCGAAAGTTATTTTTTTTTTAATTGAGTACAATCCTCAAGTATGAAAAGTGGCAGTTTGTATTCAATTTGCTGAATGAATAAATAATTTCTCAGCGACTTATCAATGCCATCTCCAGCCTCCCCACCTCCCAGGACTCAGTGGCTACACAAAAACCTGTGACTCAGTGATTACTCCACCTGGGGCCTCCTGCAGCAGGAATGTATGCTTCATGGCTTTATTGCTCTATCAAACTCCTACATGGCCTATTAACTGGCATCATTCCCTGGCCTGGGTCGGGGTGGGGGAGGTGGGCAGGTTTGGGAAGGCTAGAAATGTAGCTTAAAGACAATGCTAAAGTACCATTCTCCTCCAAACTCCACATATCCCATACCAACTTGTATGCAATATTCAACTTCTTTGACACATCCAAAGCATGGTTCTGAGTCTCTGTCCATAAGAAGTTGCAGCCCAAGGACAGGACACAGTCCAGATAAGCTGTACAGATATTTCTGAGCTAGGCTTCTGTCTCTTCGAAAAATAGAGGCAGAGAGCTGCCTCCTTTGCTTCTATGTAGTCCAGCATATACCCAAACTCTCCATACCATCGACTGTATCTTTAAACGAATTGTGCTAAGCTTCCTTTACAAGAAGGACTCAGTGTACAGTCTGGGTTAGGACGTTTTTCATGCCAAAGGTTTGACAACAGAAGCACACAACCAAGAATCCAAGAAAATAAATTTATTAAACTTTGAAGGAAAAACTCCACAGACATAAGGAAAGTTAAATATAGACTGCAGGACACAACTAGTAAATAATGGCTTGTGTGGCCAGCAAAGTACCAAAATGACATTCTGAGACTGATTGAGGTATTTAGCTATTTTTGGCTATAGAAATGTGGTCAGCCTATTGTGAAAGAGCAAGATAGATCTTCCAAACACATAGCTTTAAGTCAAATTATATTCTAAGTTGATGATATTTTATATGAAACTAAATTATGGAGCTCTTGGAGAAACCATAGCAGCAAAGTAGCAGAAAATCTATTCAACATCTATTACAAAGTAATGTCTTGAACTTTAAACACCCAATTGCAGATCTACAATGTTTTCTTGCAAGAAAGAGGGAATTTGAAATTACCAACCATGAAGCTTGCTTCCCACAAAAGGGCTGAGCTAAATGGCAAGTACTATTTAAGTTAAAGCTAACTTTAAAGTTCTAAGCTTTAAAAAAAAAATACTTAAACTTAAACTGAGAAGTATTCTTCAGTGGGATATGAGTTGTCTCTTTTTCATAACTCTTATAGAGAGCTATCCCAAAGAATGATGTTTAAATTATTAAGGAATGGAAAAATATGTATAAATTACTTAGGCCTCTTCTTTTTTTTTTTTTCTGACTACCTGGTTTGAGGCCAAACTTTTCAGAGTAGAAATAAATTCTGGAACTTCTTTTATGATTTAAAGTAAGTCCTATAAAAAGTTTGGTCTGAGAGAAAGTTTCTGCTACTGGTTTGATTATTTCTGAGTTATCTTTGGGATGGAAAACCTCATTTCCTCTGTCGCATTACCAAGAATAATGAGTATGTGTCTGGCTGTAGGCTGTTAAACAAACACCTATTTCTTGAACTTTCTGTTCCATTACCCAGTCAACTTTATTTGACCTGCTTCAACTCACAAAATGCTGCTTGTACCTTATTCCTGCTTAGATGATCATAACGCCAAGCTCAGCATCTAAAAGCCTCACCACTATGTGCGCGGTGGCACTTACACATCCTGGCCAGTCAGGACCAGCTATAACTTCTCCTTCTCTTAGCACATAGCTTTCCAGCTTGAGCTAAAATTTGGTGAATAAAGTTTTTCACTTTTTCTTTTTGGTTTGTGGTATATTGATCTGTGTAAACATTTTTAAGTTTTGTAAATTAAAAAATATTCATTTAAAAATCAGATTAAAATGAGTATGTTCCAGTAATGTAGGCTACTAGACATTTTAGAATTGATTAAGAAGTTTTGGGAGGTATAAAAAGGGCTTTGTAAAAAACAAACTTGTTGTTTGTTTTTCTTTTGGTGCACAGACAGAAGCATTAAACCAGCTTTAGACTGTAGTTGCTACATTCTTTAGATGGGTCACCATGAAATACAGTACACAGTGCGTAGTGTGTTATAAAATAGCCATGCTTGAAGTCTAAGTTATTAAAATATCTTTATCAATTTTATGTGAAAATAAATGTTTTACATATTCAAACTATTTCTGCCTTCTCACCTAGAGTTTTAGTACCCAATTATTTAAAAAAGAAAAAATTAGTCTGTTCTATGATTTGTATTCAATTTCCTGAACTGCAAAAGCCACCTGATTTCCTTGCTTTTTCAAAAAGCATGATTTAGTATACATTAAAAATGTAGCCATTCAATGCTTAGTGTCACAGAATTATCACCCACAATAATAAGACAATCACTGCCACTACACAGTCTTTGAGACAATTCTTTAAAATATTTACAGTTCACAATGGGAATATCTATCTGATTAAGCATTCTTATTTTTTTTCATTTTAATATCATGTTGTAACATTTCAGCAAAAGGCATTTAGAGAAGCCACACCCACGCTCACATTATTCCAGAAAAGGTTTAAACGTGGTTTTGGTTTAAGCATTCATCCCCAGCCCATTCTTTGCGATTGAATATGTCACTCTTGGGAAATCCGATAAAGGCTATGGCATGATTTTGTTCAGTTGGTCTGTGCTCACGTAACCACACGAGGAGAGGAACTCTTTGTCAGGCAAGGGCAAGGCGGTCGCGTTGAGGATCAGGCCCTGTGGGGACTGCACTATGTGAATGGAGGTATAGTCTGGGACCGGTGTCTCAGAACTTGAAGCATGTTCTTCTGGTCCAGACCTTCCAGAAGTAGCAGTAAGGCTTTCCGTGGTGATGTAAACGTCCTCCTTGTTAAAGCTTGGCTCTACGTGTGATTTGACCTCCAGGTGAGGGGCCAACGTGATGCATTTTTTGGCATCAGCCTCGCAGAAGTAGGCGTTGTCCATGATGAAGTTTGCTTGGCAGAGTGTGACTTCTTCTGGATGCATGTTGCTCTGGGCTATACCTGCCTTGCTTTTTTGGCTTGGAGAAAGGACCACACTCCCTGCTGGTGTAATGTCGCTTACCTGGGCATAAAAGTCAATGTTTGACAGTGAATTAGGATTGCTTATTTGAGTAGGGGTAACGTGGTGAGTTGACTCATTTTCACCAAGAAGAAGTGGTTGTGGTTTGCCTTCCTCTGCTAGAATAACACTGGACTGCTGAGTGGCAGAGGATGCATCATGATAAGGTGAATTATTTTGATTCTTCTGGTCAAGGCACAAGAGATTGGCTTCACCTTTTAATCTTTGTGGCAGAGCCACCTCTGAGATACCATCACACAAGTCACTGGCATTGAAATCAGTCCCCAGGATGTCAGGTTCATAGCAGCTGGTACGTCCAGAGTCATCATCCTTTGCCCCAAGGATATTAAGTGATTTCTGATGGTCATTGGTTAGAAGTCTGTCTGTATCTGATCCCTCAGTCTTTTCATCAGGATCGTCGATATCTAGCTCAATAAATTCCACCCAAGAGTCATCATTGTAGAATTCAGATTTATAGTTATCATGAATGGCTAAGATCGTGTTCACCTCCTCTAATTTTCCTTCCTAGGAAGCAGAAAGAAAATGAAGATTTATGAAAAGAAACTCATAATAATTAATTTTTAATTGATACATAGAGATTGGGAAAAAAAACACCTCGCAACATTGACGTTTTCTTTAGGTATCACTTAATTAGAGCTAACTACAATTTAGATAGAGTTATTAATTACCTTGAAGAGATCTGGATCAATTCCTTTAATCTTTGGAACTGGAACTGGAGGCAAAATCAGCATCTTAATCCTTGAAATCAAATAAAATTTGGTTTGACATATCTTAAAAGTTACATGTTCTCTTATTTCAAAAGTTAGAAATAAAATTTTGGCAGTACTATTACTTATTTCAAATAGGTATTTTATAGATGGAATATGAGAAAGGAAAGGAAAACATTAGGCAGTAATGTTTAAAAAACTGTAGAAGAAAAACAGTAACAAAAAAGCCCTCATTTGAAGGTCTATTTAAATAAAATGTGTTTTTCCTATAATCTTTTTTTCCCCTTAATGCTTTTTACTGATAACCATCTTTAGTGTTTGAACTCAGGGCCTCATGGTTGCTAGGCAGGTGTTCTTACTGTTTGAGGCATTCTGAACTTTAGTATTTGGGAGTAAGAAGTTTAATTCTGTATGAAGCCAATTTTCATATCAGTTATAAGGAAGGCAATTTTAATGTATATTTGATGAATAATTTGCAGAAAAAATGAAGAAAGAAAAAAGATCCAATTCACATGGAGCTAAAGTTATTTGTGCCCTTAAAAAAAAGATGGACTGGAATAATTTAGCACCACAGAGTTCACAATAATTGTAAAATCATCTGAGGTCTCTAACTAGAATGTTACAGGGATCATTTTGGATAGTACTATCCCTAATAGGATGGATTTATATACACAATTATCGAATCTCACTTAGCACAATTCCTGTCACATAGGTTCTCAATAAGCATTTCTTTAATAAGTGTGAGTAAGTTGTCTATTTTGTTAATAGGATAACTGGAGTTTATATCTTAAAACCAACACTGTAGCACTAGAAAAAAACTCAAGGATTATTCATCCCAACCAACTCATTTTATGGCTAAAAAATCCTCCTAAGTATTCAGAAATGTCATTGTTTGGCAGGGATAATAGCCTGATTTGTGGATGTCAGTTGCTATTCTGTTCAGTGTGACTGGACCATATACTAAAATTCAGTAAGGAAAACTTTCTCTTAATATTTCCATTTGGAATTTTACCTAATCCAAGTAATAAGCCAAATTCCATTTTAGAAGTTGCTTTGAGTAGTTTCCACCATGCTTACCAGGGGGAGGGGTATGTTAAGCAAATTGTTACTGTTTGAATAGCAGATATAGAAGTAAATAATATAAACTATTAGTAACAATTCCTGTCATTTTTGAATGCCTCTGATAAATCAGACACTGTGGGATACACTTTGTACTATTAGACTATAGGTTGGCCTGTTCTGGCTTGCCACTTGTTTTTGTAGGAAAATTTTTATTGGAATACAACCATGTCTTACATAGTCTCTATTTTCATGCCACAGTGGTGAAACTACATAGTTGGGACAAAGACATATGCCCTCAATACCAAAAAATTTACTATCTGATTCCTTATAAAATAAGTTTTTGACTCCTACACTCAACATTGTATTTAATATTTCCGACTCCCAGGGAGACAGGTGATATTATCTGTGCAAAGATTTGGAATATTAAGGAACATGCTTAAATAATGCACTAATACTTGGCTCAACTAGGGATCAAACACAGAGGACCAGACTCCAAAGTCAGACTCTGTGATCTCTGTCATGATGCTGTGTTTTGTTTGATTCTGCATTTCTAAATATATATTTCACAATTTCTAAAACATAAAGAAATATAACCCAATTACTAATTATAAGAAACAAATATTCATAAATGGCTGTTTGAGTTTTTGGATGTGTTTCTCCTCTTTTTTTTTTTTGGAATATGATGATGTATTTCTGTATATGCTAGTGGTTTTCTATAGCTGTGGTGACCTTATGCCACAGTGGCATACCCTGAAACTTCAAGGGCCCAAGTTTTCATGTAAGTAAAAGAACAGTTTCAGTGCTGTTAGGAAGAATGATGGTGGTGGCAAAATGGGACAGCTGGTTCTCCACTTCCACACATGTGCCATGCAGGAAGATCAGGCTAGCTTGATCACATCTTTCCATTTTTAAAGATACTCCAAAATCTAGATTTTTGTGTGAAGATTCTCTTTTTGGTAGTAACTTTGTAGCAAAGTCATTATTCCAAAATAAAAATAAATAACAAAATACAGACTTGCAGTCTGAATTTGGTGTTCAGTTTCCCACTTCTATTTTATCGGATACAGTTATTTCTTTCCTTAATAATAGGGCAAAGGCTGCGTGGGTCATATGGTGGGAGCTAGTATAGAGTAAGCATAACCTGGCTTGAAACTGTGTTTGTGACATTACTATCATCTTATTAAAATATGAATTACATTATAAAATAATCTAGAGTTGATTTTTGACCATCTGGATTGAGACAAGATAAAGAATTATGATTCATAAAACTTCAAAGACACATAGGACCTAAACTCCTTGATAGCCCTGTAGTTCTCAGGAAGACCAATACCAGCACCTCATTCTTTGGAGTATTTTAATTGTTGGAACCAGGTGTTGTTTCTATACCCACTGTCAACTATTTTCTACCATTGCCCACTTTCATTAGAAAATTTAGACATTGAGGCAATGATAAGGGTTTTTATGGGAAAATTTTAAAAAATTGATTTTTTTAAACAAGTCAATTTTTCCAGGAAAGTGGGAGTATAATAAAGAATTAAATCAGCTTTACAATTTGGTGATTTTTATCCAACTGTTATGGTTGTTTAAAGTTTCATTACTCACAGAAAACATTCTTTTAGAGAAAGGCTGATATATTTTCTTTGAAATCCTATTCATTGAGAGGAAGTTTTTGTTTCATATATTGTTAGATAACATAACTGGCAGCCTAATAAATTTTCTTTACCCTCACTATGTCTTGAAATTGATTCTAGTCTTATATATACATTTATATAGCTATCTATCTATATATATAGATATATATATCTATATATATATATCACTGAACTCAAATTAATGCACAGAATCATTTGATTCATTTTGGTGTTACTTAATTGCAAAAACTACTTTAAAATCCTAAAACTATATTTATTTCCCCTAACAACTGAAAACTGTGCTATCCCAATTTATAATAGTTGTTTTTGTAAAGTAGAAATGTTGCTAGGAAGCTAGGTGCAAAATGAAATTGTGCAGAGTGAATTTTGCTTTCCTATTGGTTCACATTATAAAACCACCAAAAAGAACCCATTCTGCATTCAGTTAGAGACTTCCAACATACTTAACACTCTAGAATGCTGATAAAATTCTATTTTGAAGTTTACCACCCTAAAAGCATATTAAAATCTTATATAAAATATTCACATAAATCCCATTTTGATTTGTAGCTGCCTCTTGGTTTCAGCTGGAGAACTCGTTTTCAATTATAAGTAGGGTGACCAACTATCTTAGCTGCCTGGATTTAAGGGATTTCCTAGACAAAGGAGTTTCAGTGTAAAAACCAGGGGAGTCCCAGACAACCTGGGAGTGCTAATAAGCCTAGTTCTAAGAGAAGGGGTATGATTAAACCATGAAACTTTAAAAAGACCTTAAATGTAAGAAACCAACAATCAATTTATACCAATTTTTTCCCTACATTTTGTATAAAATATTTCCTGTAGTGTGGACTGAGTTTCTTTGAATCAGAAAAATAGGATGACAGTATCTCATAGTTCAAGGGAAATGTTAAGATCATGTAACCCAACACCCTCACATTATCTGTTAAAATGTGGGAACCCAGAGAGAGTAAGGAATGCAAACAAGATCAAACACCAGTGGATCAATAACTGGAATTCAAATCTTTTGACTCCAAGAGAATGCAAAATGGAATTTCTTCAAATTTAGAAATAATTTTAGCTGTATTTACAAATGCAGGTGAAATACAAAATCATAGATATCCTAATAATGTAAATGAAACCCAAATTTACCTGAAATAACCATCATATGAAGTCTTAAAAATAAGTTTTATTAGATTGAATTATGTAGATGGCTTTAGTTTGCTACTTAAAATTTCCTATGCATAAGGACTACAGCAGACTCAGTCAAAGGTTCAGTGATGCTTTGGGGTCTCGGAGTGAATGGGTCAACTTCATTGAGGATTTGAAGGGAAGAGGTAGCTTTTAGATAAGGAGGTATCTGTCACAAGGTGTATGGTATACAGATCCCTAGTCTAACCCTTTTAATGTCCTATACAACACCCCAGACAGTTTAGAAAGAATCTAAACTGTAGGTTCTCCAGGATGGGCACATTGGATTCAACAAATTGAATTTTAAAGAACTGGTAAATGTGTAACTGGAGGTAAAATTTACTGGGTTAATTAAAATTTTCACTCATAATGAATAAGACATAATGTCAAATAACTCATAGAAACACACAGAAATCTAAACAACTTGCAAAAACACGAGACTCTTTAAGACCTACCTGTGCTGTTTAGAAAATATGACTACAAATAGCATCACTGTTAGACCAAATATTCCAAAGATAATAACTAAGAACCATGGAAACTGGAAATCTGAAACACAAAAAGAATATTTAACTCATAGAACTATGAATCATTGTAGCAAAGTGTACATTTTATTGTCCTTTTCCCCATGAAAATAGTTGGTAATTTGAACTCATCTAGTGAAGTCAGTGATCTCACTTGATAATCACACAAACAGAATGGAATGCTTAGGAGTCTTTCTAAGAGCACAACACCTCTGTCCATTGTTCAAATATTTTCACATTTAAAAAATCCTTCAAAATGAAAAGGATACAGTTTAAACACAAAGCATGCATAAGAAAACAAAACAAACTGCTTTAAGAATGTTATATGTTCAAAGAGTATCGATAAGGGATTTAGCTCTAGGAAAAAATGTTTGTTAAACCTAATTAAATAATACCCATATATGATTTCTTTTTTAAAAAGTGTGATGAAATTTTTTAGATTTCAGATTGAGGATTTATCACAAATATGAGAGGCAGAAATTTCTTAGATATATGGAACATAAATCTTACAGCTTTAAAAATACGTGTATATGTATGTATGTGTGTATTATTGAGGTTCCTGCCTTCAGATTTCACTATACTTGTATGAGATGTGGAGGAATTTGTTTGCAAAACTTTTATTTTTTTCCTTAAGACTAAGTGCTTCCCACCTACTTTGTAGTTGGTTTCCAGTAGTCTTATCTCAGGGGCAGAAGAAAACCATTTTTTAATATGCCTTTTTATTTAATAAGGTATTAAAATCATCCAAGGAGACATTGTGGATAAACTTGTCTGAAAGTTCACTATTCAGAGATAACCACTGAATTCCTGTGTCTAAATTCCCACCCACCCCAGAACCTTTTCTAAATTAATTTGGAAACTAAATCTTCTTACTTCTACAATATATATAACACCTGTTACAAGATAGTGAGATCAAGGTTTCTCACCCTGATATTTGAATGTTAATGGGTTTTGTTCTGGATAATATGCTAATAATGAAGGCATGTGTTCATTGTTATATTGCTAAAAGCCATGTTAGCTACCATTTAAAAAATATTTTTTTTACCTTCTTCACATGCAAATGGGCTCATTTGAGGAAGTGTTACATACAGCACCTCACTGAACTCGCCATATTTTTCAGAGTTTCGTTGTCTGGATCTCACACGCACTTCATATTCTTTATCCAGTCTCAATGAGTACACTGGAACTGATGTTAGCAAGACAGGGTCCATCTTTCAAGACAAAAGAGTCGATAGCTCAATGCAGCAAACTCTTCAGGTGTTTTCCCATTTGTATTCAGAGTGGATTTTTACAAAATGAGTAATATTTTAAATGCCCAGAGGGAGTCTGTTATTTTTAAAAAGATTGAGACAAATTATGTAAAGAATCATTTTGTTGAAAAGCAATTACTCCTCAAATTTATTTTGGTATAAACCCAAAGCTATGACAGATTTGCTTAAAGAATTGCAGCTATATCTTTGTATTAGGTTGTGAGATATTTAAAAATAATAGAATTATGAAGAATGGAAGAACTATAAAGACTGAGAATATGCTGTTTTCTTATCTGGGACATTACAATTCTGTGTGGAGGAAGACAACAAAACAGAAAAAAAACAAACATATTTCTACACCAAAACAAATTATAGCCTTATGGCAAGCTATATATCTATGTTCCTTGGGAATTCTGGGGCAACATCTGTTTGTAATCACAGAATTGGAAAGGGTCCTAGAAATGCCATAGTTGTCTTTATTGAGCTTTCAAATAATTGTATTAGAAGCAACTATATACTTAATCTGCTTGTTACAGAAGGCTCAAACCCAGCTCAAAATAGTTTGCTATTCAAAAATCTGCAAAGAAAATTCACTGGAGTGCTTTGACACTGAGCCTCAGGGTCTCACAGTGTTGAAGATCAGGCTATTCTTTACTTCCCCAGAGAAGGATGGTGATGTAATTAGACTTGTAAGACATATTACTATCAAAGAGGTGTTTTCCTCCAAAACACCAAATACCCAAAGAATGTACTCAATGTGTTTTTCATATGTTTTTGGGTAGAACACCTTGTTCCTCTTTATTGAAAACTTGGAACACTCACTTTCAACAGCATGGATTTTCACATAAATAAAATTTTCCTAATTTGTTTTATTAAGTCAGAAGCTGGGCCTTTAGCATCTGGAAAAAATTTTTTTCACCCCAGTTGGCTTCGACTCACAAAGTACTTCTTTTATTTTCCCCATGTATGCCCGACATGGTTTGTTTGTGTCTTTTACAGGAGCCTCTGAATACATGCACCATTTGCATCCTAACGCAGGATTCTGAATATTAAACTACTTTATTATTATTTTTTTAAATATTTTAAAAGCCCAGGTTTATATTCTGGGATCTCTAATTTTTCTTTTATTTTCACCAATATTACTTATGGTTATACCAACAGCAAAACCAAAAAGGGGACCTCAGTAAGTTGACTTAAGGATTTCGCCCCCATCTTCCTTCAACATTTCACATATGCAACACCAAACTCATGTTTTCTCATTTGCCTCCTACTATACCTAACCCTGATATTGGCTTGCGTGGGGCTACCTATTCCTTATACAAGTCTCAGTGAGACTGTTGTGCACCATTGATTCTAAGTCTTTCCTGGTACTTTCCCCACTCTATGCTATCAGATAATCTTTGACTACTGATTATATTTTACTGCTCACATTTAACTATATACTTCTTTCTATATTACGCTGAACTTCTCCAAACACCTGATGTTAGACCTCTAGGAATTAGAAAAAGAACAAAATAGTTCCAAAATCAGCAGAAATAAAGGAATGATAAACACTAGAGAAGAAATAAATGAAATAGAGACTAGAGAAATAATAGAATGCATCAACAGAAATAAGAATTTGTTTTTTGAAGACATGAACAAAATCTATAAATCTTTAACTACATTAAGAAAAAGGATGAGATCTAAATGAATAAAATCAGAAGTGAAAGAAGAGACAAAATTCCTGATACCATAGGAATACCAAGATCTTAAGAGACTGCTATGAACAACCATAAACCACAAGTTGGACAGCCTAGAAGAAATGAATAAATTCCTAGATACATTCCAAGACTGAATCAGGAAGAAACAGAAAATTTCAATGGAACAATAGATTGAATCAGTAATACAAAATCTACCATCAAAGAAAAGCCCAGGACCTTAAAGCCTCATAGCGAAATGCTACTAAACATTTAAGGAAGAATTTTACCAGTTCTTCTAAAACTCTTTCAAAAAACTGAAAAAGAGGAGATTCTTCCAAACTCACCTATGATACCAAATCAGACAAGGTCACTACTAGAAAATATAGGCTGATATTTGGATGCAAATCCCTGACAAAATACTAGCAAGCCAAATTCAACAGTGTGTTAAAGACCATTCACCACGGTCAAGGTATTTATCCCAGGGGTGAAAGAATGTTTTATCACATGTGATGCACCCCATTAACAGAATGAAGAACAAAAACCATATGGTCATCCCAATACATATAGAAAAAAGATTTGGCAAAATCCAATATGCTTTTACGATAAAAATTATTAACCAATTAGGTACAGAAGGAATGTATCTCAACACAAAAGTCATACATGACAAAACCACAGTTCACATCACACTCAACAGCAAAAAAGCTGAAGAATTTTCCTCTGAGATCAGGAATAAGATAAGGATGCCCACTCTTTCTTCTTCTTCTTCTTCTTTTTGGTAGTACTGGAGTTTGAATTCAATTTCTTTTTCACTGTTGTACAGAGTTTTCATCTTTTTGGTTACATTTATTCCTAGGTATTTAATTTTCTGTAGCTATTACAAATGAGATTGCTTCCTTGATTTCTAGTTTAGATAATTCACTACTTAGTTTTTTTCTCTCTCTTTATATGTACCTCTGCAAAGAGTGACAATTTACTTCCTCTTTTCCAGGTTAGTTGGCCTTTAGTTCTTCTTTTTGCCTGATTGCTCTGGCTCCGACTTTTAGTATAATTTTGAATAAAGATGATGAAATTAAACATCCTGTCTTATTGCAGATCTTAGAAAGAAAGCATTCAGGTTTTGACTGTTCAGTATCATGTTAGCCGTTTACTTACAGATGGCCTTTATGATGTTGAAATAAGTTCCTTCTATATCTAATGTGTCCAATCAGAGCTCTAATTATGAAAGACTGCTGAATTTTGTCAAATACCTTTTCTGCATCTATTGACATCATAATATAGTTTTTTGATGGTATAGGAAACCACACACAGGATCTTATATAAGCAAGATAAGTACTATACTTTATAAGCTGCCTCTCCAGTTTTTCATTAAATATGTTCTAGTAAGTAATCTTTTTAGTGTGCTATTGGATTCAATTTGCTCATATTTTGTTTGGAATTTTTGCATTTATGTTCATCAATCATATTGTCTAACAGCTTTCCTTTTTGTTGTTGTGCAGATAAGATAACCCTAAAGGCTCTATCAAAAAACCATTAGAACTAATGAACAAGTCCATAAATTTGCAGGATACAAAACCCACATATAAAAATTAGTAGCATTTGTATATGCTAACAATGAACTATTCTAAAAAGAAAACAACCCCATTTACAATAGCCCTAATAAATAAAGATATTTAAGAGTAAATTTAACCTAACCAAGGAGGTGAAAGAGCTGCATACTTAAAACTCTGAAACAGTGAAGAAGACACAAATAAATGGAAAGATATCCTGTGTTCACAGTTCTGAAGAATCAATATTGTTAAAATAGCTATACTATTCAAAGTTATCTGTAGGTTCAATGCAATTCTTATCAAAATCCCAATAGCATTTTCCACAGAGATAAAAAAATCATAAAACCATAAAATTCATATGGAACCACAAAAGACACTGAATAGCTATCTTGAGCATAAAACAATAAAGCCATCTTGAGCATGAAACAATAAAGCTGGAGCCAGGCATGGTGGCACATGCCTGTAACCCCAGCAATTGGGAGGCTAAGTCAGGGGGATTGTGAGTTTAAGTTCAGCCTGGGCTACATAGCAAGACCCTGCCTCAAGAAAACTAAACCAAAACAAACAAACAAAAAACCAAATAAAAACAAAACCCCTCCAGCATGGTACTGACAGAAAAACAGACACATAGACCAATACAATGGAATAGAGAGCCTAGAAATAAATCCAGACACTTAGGTCCTTTGATTTTTGACAAAGGTGCTAAGAACATACAAAGGGGAAAGGAGAGTCACTGCAATGAATGGTGAAGAAAAATCTGAAGGAAAGTAGAGACTGTCTCATACTGTATACAAAAATCAATTCAAAATGTATTAAGGACTTAGATGTAAGGAATGAAACTATAAAACTACTAGAAGAAATCACAGAAGAAAAGCTTGTTGACATTAATCTGAGTGATTTTTTGTTGTTGTTTTGGTGGCACTGGGTGTGGAACTCAGCCTTGTAGTTGCTAAGCAGGTACTCTACCACTTGAGCTCCTCTGCCAGTCTGTGATATATATTTTTTGATATGACTTGAAAACCATAGGAAACAAAAATTGAAAATATTTGACAAATGGGATTATGTTAAACAAACAAGGTTCTGAAGAACAAAAGAAATGACTGAGTGAATGGAATGTGTTATATACAGAATATATAAAGGATTCAAGCAGCTCGAATGCAAGAAAATAAGTAATTAAAAAAATGTGCAAAGGAGCCAAATAGGTGTTTCTTAAAAGCAGGTATACGAGAACATGATTAGCATCACTAATCAACAAGGAAATGTGTATCAAAACTACAATGAGGTATCTATCATCTCACTCCAGTAAGGAAGGCAATCATAAAAAAGGCAAGAGATAAGTGTGGGTGAAAAGGTGGAGAAAAGGGAACTTCTTCCCACTGTTGGTGGAAATGAAAATTAATACAATCATTATGGAAAACAGTCTAGAGGCTACTGAAAAAAGTTAAAAATAAAATGACCATATGACTTAGCAATTCCACTAATGGGTTTCTATCCAAAGGAAATGAAATCAGTGTGTTGAAGAGGAATTTTCACTTTCATGATAACTGTAGCATTATTCACAATAGTCAAGATACAGATTAACTTAAATGTCCATTTATGGGTGAACAGGCAAAGAAAATGGGATATATGTAGAATGGAATATTATCAGCTTTAAAAAGAAGGAATCCTATCATTTGTGCCAAAATGGAAAAACCTGGAACATATTAAGTGAAATAAGCCAGGCACAGGACAAATACCACATGATCTCACTTATATGTGGAACCAAAACAGGTGAACTCTGGAGTAGTGAGAAAATGGTGGTTACCAGGGGCTATAGGGCTGGAAGTGTGGGTTTAGGGAGATGTTGGTGAAAGGATACAAAACCTCAGGTAAATAGGAACAATATGCTTAGGAGATCTATTGTACAACCTAGAGACAATAATTAATAAGCATGCGTTATATTTTGACAGTCTCTGAGAGTAGACTTTAAGTGTTCCCAGTCCAAAAAATGGTTTGTGATGTATCATTTTGCTCCACTGAGCTATTGCACCATGTGTACATATTTCAAAACATCATGTACATGATAATATATACAATTGTTATTGAACAATTGAAAATTCACCATTCTATCTAGTATCAGTCATTTGGAAAATATTCACTGACTCATGTAAATTTGTGGCATTTTATTATATAATATAACAACATCACTTTCACAATATCGCCATGGAGCTTATTTGGAAAAAAATTTCATGCCTTGGAAAGCTATGAAGCTTGTGGTTACAGATACAAGTTTTCCAAAATTCTGCTTCTTTTGAAAGTTCAAATTTTGTCATTGGTACAAGTATTGTTAGTTATTTTACTTGAATAACAAATTTTACTTCCTTCTTAAGAAACACTTGACAATCCAAATACAAGAAGCCATCTACCAGTTTATCAGTTATTCTTCAAGAAGAAAATTGGTGCTTCATGCAAAAAGGCAGGGAGTTCAGGTGGCAAATCAGTCATTAAATAAGTAAGCTATGTACCCAAAGGTTGAAATATAACAAAATTAATAACTGCTATGTCTTCATCAAGCAAATTTTTATGTAAGCCTGGACTTTTTACCCACCCCCCTTTTTTTTTTCCACTGGGAGTTCATGTTAGTGAAGAATTCAGTGACTATTAATAAAGTTTGGTATGACTGCCTTGCTTCATGTAAAGGTGACAGCAGTTTTCCCATCACAGCTTTTGTACCACAAGTGTAAATGCCAACATGGTGAAGAAAAGAAAATAATGTATTAGTATATTGTGAAAATACTGATTTTGTGGACTTTTTGGGGTCTCAGGTACTCTCAGAGGTCCACAGTTCCCATTTTAAGAACTGCTTTCCTGGGAGCCTAGCACAGTGCCTTGTGTGAAGTTGTTATTTCTATACCTTGTTCTGAATAAATGTTTGATTATAACTTGGATCTAGAAAATCTTGTTTGAGTTAGCACCCAACCAGGCTTGCTTGTACCAAGTTACAGACAAGATAAATGAATGAAAATGATTTAGAAAATAAAACCTCAAAGCCCAGCTTTGTAACCTCAAAACTGCTCAAACTTAGCATTCTGCTAATGACAAAACTGGATTCTTCTTTAGTGATTCACTGAATGGACAGGGCCTGGGAAGTAAGTAAGTCTCAAAATTCTGAGGATGAGCTTGGCCAGGCTGCTGGGTACAACCTCATTCCTGGCCAGAAATTGTGTGGCTTGGCCAGTGTGGCTGTGGTTAAACTGATTTAGCACTGGCTATATTGGGAGCAGTATGATAATCCTGTTTTCCTTCTTGTTATATGCCATGTGGAATTTATCTAAATGCTGAGTCCCCCACACACTTGGCAAGGAAGTGAGGGGTTCAGAGGCCAACTTACTCTCTACTTGCCTGTATAAGAGGTCTTAGCTTGATTCTTCTCTGAGCTATGCAAGAAAACATATTTCTGAATCCTCTAAGGGATGAATTCCCTACTCTGCCTCTCTTCTGGATACATTTAAGAACTGCTTTTAATAGAGGTCTTGTTAGTAGCACCAATTAAAATCTTAGTAGCATATTTGTTAGAGTCCACTGTTGACCTTGTTCATGATCCTTTTTGTGTTTAGTTATATTGCCAAAGACAGCTAAGTGTTTAGAGTCTATGATTTTGCTCTCCAGTTAAAGAATACCTAGGGAGATACTTTTCTTCCCATAACTGTAACTATATGAGCACATATATACATATAGAGCTATTTAATCATGTTTCATATTTCTAATAGCTTTGATATATATATTCATATAGATGTGTATGTGTATACATATGCCATCTTACAGAATTCTGAGATGGTATTTTACTGATTAGATGGGTTTTCCTCTAACGAGAAATTATGGAGCATATAGCATGGGCATGTGGTATTAGGTCAAAAGGAAGTTTAATTATAAATGAGACATCTGTCTCATTGAAATAGGAAGAAGAAAAGTCACAGTGTAAGATGTAGTGACATCTTACCATTTTCCAATGAGTTTCATTTACTTCTTTGTATTGAAGTTCATACTCCAGAACTATCCATCCCTTCTGAACATCTGCATTGGGTGGTGGTTCCCATCTCACTTGAATATCTGCATGAATCCCAGTTAAACTGATGTTCAGTAAAGTCCAGTTGAGGCCAATTGGTGGATCAGGTTGCACTGTGTAATTTAACAGAGAATTAGAATCTGAGAGAAACAGATTAATGAGTTTGACATTAATGGAATGCTTTCCTTTGAGGAGACAAAATTACTTGATACATTTTGATCATTCATACTCTTAACTCTTCGATTATTCCTGTCATTATGTCTCTCACCTTACAAGACAGTGCCATTTTTAACTTAAGGATGATACTTTTCAACTTTAAGAAAGTCCCTTCTTTTTGAGTCTAAAATATGATTTACAGCTTTTTCTCAAAGATTTGTCGTGTTTCATATTTCCTGTAGCTCTAATAGTGTTAATGCTTTGGGATTTTGGTAAAGGAATTTATTTCAACTCAAAATTGGAGGAACAGAGAGCCAGAAAGATCTCTGCATTTAAATGTGGCATTTTTGGAACTTGAAGTAAGAGGAATGTTTTTTCTTCCAAACTGTGTACAAGCTGAGGGTTAGGACCTTGTCTGACTAGTTCTACATCGCTGCTAGTACTTTCCTTCTGAAGTTTTTGCAAGTGGATTTTGGCTTTGTTGGCTTCTAGGCCTTCCTAGGTTGCTTCAGCCATAAGAATGAAGGCATTACTCTGCTCTCAAGTTCATGATGGTTCAAGGTTTTCTGTCTTTTACTTAACCACGTGAACAATCGGACATAGCATTTGCTCAGTTTCTATTGATATACTCTACATTCTTAGATAAATCTGTGCACTCTAATTAGTAGGACCACAAAAACCAGAGATTCCCAAAGGTTGGTGAAGACAAGTATTGATTTCAAAACTAGGAACTACATCTAAATTTATGTTTTGCATAGTCCCAAGTAAAATATGGCTATTTAGGTATTATCGCCAAGGCTTTTGAAAATTACTTGTAGATACAGAACAAAGTTTTCTTTCTTTTCTACCACATGTAGATGGTCACTTAGAGTGTTGCGAAGTCTGGGTCCTTAGGGTTGATCAGAGATACGCTTACAGATATGTGGTGTGAGGAGCTCTTATTGATCACCAAATCTGGGGGACAAAGAGGGAAGTTCTTATGTTGTCCCAGGATGGAAACAGACCTTAAGGTAGGAGAGCATGTATGCTGCTGGTCACTATGGAGTAGATTCTACTTTTTTAAAAATAAGGAAAGACTATTTCTGTTTTAGTAGTCAGATACACACATGAATACATTTTGGAAGTTAAATTTGAAGGATGTTCAAACTAGATATGCCCATATAATGGCAGTAATACCTTGCCCTTCTCGATTTGTTGGGGATTGAGGAATCCTTATAACCAAAGCATAACCATTTAAGTGGTCTGTTTATCTATCTATCTATCATATATTTTTATTTTATTGAGACAGAGTAGTTTTGTTATGTAGCTTATACTAGCTTTGAACTCATGGTCCTTCTGTCTTAGCTGCTGGAGTGCTGGGATACAGGTGTGTGCCACCATGCCCAACTCTTATAAAAATATTTTGATGGAAAATATTTTAAACTTACTACTCATATTGCATCTTAAAATTTTCCTTTTCCACTTTAAATAGAGGATATGAGACAGTGTCCTTTTGGGAAAGCTAAGTACCACCATTACAAGCATTAGAATAACCTCTCCCTTATCTTTACACACATCCACATGCCATACTTGACAACTCCAATGAGATATTTAAAAGTATCTGAAACTTAATATACACCTAAAGAAGTTGCTGGTCTTCCTCCCCAACACCTACTCGCTCCTCTTTCATCTTCCCCATTTGTGTCAGTGATGACTCTAGCCTTCCAGTTGCTCAGAATAAAAGCAGTGAGTTCTTCCTTGACTCATCTTTTTCCTACCAATGCAATTTCTGTCAGCTGTACTTTCAAGATGCACCCAGATTCTAAGCACTTCTCACTGTCTGCACCTCTATACTTGGTCTCAGTCATTGCCATGTTTCATACCCCCCCTGCTGCATTACCCTCATCACTATTCTTTTCTTTAGGTCTTTGTGCCCCTTCAGTCTATTCTTAATACAGTCTTCAGTACAATAGACAAAGTGATTCTCTTAACACTTAAGTTAGAACATATCACTCATCATTTAAATCCCTCTGAAGTTTCCTATCTCACACCACATGAAAGCCAAAGTTATTACAATGGCTTGAAAACTATGGATCTCTCAAATCTGTTCCCTTCCCATGGGCGTGCCTTCCCTGCTCAGTCTGTGCCAGTTCTACTGCTGTCTGGTCATTCCATCTCTAGATCTTTAGTCTTGTGTGCCCTCTTACTCAAATACCCTTCTGTCAGAAACATACACGATTATTCTCTTTTTCTTCTGTACTCAAATGTTACTCTCAGTGAAGACAACTTGATAACCCTATTTAAAATTGCAACTTCTCCAACACCCCAATTCTCATTCTCTACTAATTCTCTATGGCGTTTTCTTTTTCCTTCCTCACTGGGATTAAATCCCATTATGGTGGACACATTTTCAGTTCTACTACATTGAACCTTGCCTGGCCCAAGGAAAGGATATGTCAGTAACTATTTCCTGAAAAAAATGACAAATGCCTAACTAATATATTACTCTAAACCCAAGGAACAGCACTGTGAGGTAGTAGAACTCTTAAGTAGAACTTAAGTGCTACATAATATCGGTAGCACTTGAGGGCTCAGTTGATTGACATCTTTCTCAAGGCATACTAGGCTTAACTCTGTTCTTTGCTCTCTTTAATTCTCAGCCACTTACTTGTTCCTGCTTTTGTGTTACTGTTATATCTCTGCCTGTCATCATCTTTCACCTTGATTACCCTAGTCGTTTAATCTTTTCACCTCCAGTCTGTCTTAACTCCAATCTATGGTACACACAGTATGAACTTCTCTGAGATGTTAGTACATGACAGGTAGCATTGCCTAGTCTTGAGATTGAGAGCATGGGTTCTGTAGTTATGCTCCCTAGGGTAAAATCCCAGCTCTTCCTTATAACTCTTTGACCTTGAGTTCGTCATTTCACTGCCCTGAGCTTTAGCTGCCTCATCTGTAAAATGAGGATTATAACAGAATCCATCTCATATGGTAGTAATAAGTGATGCACTGTGAGTCCTTCGTGAGTGTTAGTAATTACTATCCTCAGTAAACATTTCAAATGCACCTCTTCTTGGTAGTCAGATAAAGCCCAAATTCCTTTGCGAGGCTCACAAGACCCTGGATGATTTCTCTAGCTGGCCAGTAGGCCTTCCCAACTGTTTCTGAGTCTGAGCATTCTGTCCTGTTTGTCACCTTTAGAACTTAGTAGTTGCTACAAGAGCCAGTCACTGTGGCACCTGGCAATTCTCACTCATGCTTTAAGAGGCAAGTGAAATGTGACCATCTCTGAGCAGCTCCTTCTCCTCCCTCAGGTGCAGTCAATCATCTATGCTTTCAGTCATCATCTTGGCTGCTATGCATTCCACACACCTCAAGGCCAGCACTTGCTACACTGTATCATAGCACACTGTACTGTGAAGATTTGTGACTTGCCTGACTCCTCTATTTGACTCCATCTTACTCATTCTGTTACCACCAGGCACGCAGGCTTTCAGTGAAAGTCATCTAGGTAAATGGTAGGGCTGTCTATTGGCAGAGACAGGGTTAGAACATGGCTCTTACTCCCCCATTCATGCTACAATTCCATTTAGCTTTAGCTTAACAGCTACATCCACTGATGTTAGGACATATACTAAACAGACTTTCTAAACTATGCAATTGAGCAATCTTTTCTGCTTATTACAGTTTTCTCAATCTTTCCCTTAAAGCCAGGTTGTCAGATTTTACTCATTTTTGTTTGCAGCATCCAGCCACATTCTTCTGGTCTCCTTCAGTCTGCTGATGCCTGGGAAACCACATAAAAGAGCAACTCATCTATGAGAAGGGACAAGGAATTCTTGTAAGTAACAAATGAGCTTTTGTGGATAGATTTTGAGCTATCAAGGTCAGCTACACTCAAAGTCCTTCTTTGATTCTTTCCATTTTGCTGTTTATACTATCATACTGTAAACATGGATATTCCAATTATAGTTGTTTGTTTTGTTTTGTTTTCTCTCTCATGTCCACGTATGATGTGCAAAAGATCATCTGTTTGGATCTTTGACTTAGTTCACTGAGCTGATTATCTCCAATGTTTGTTTTGAGATCATATAAACATGTCTTTAAACTGATTGTAGCAGTTGTGTAAATGTAAAACTCCATAATTATTATGCTTTGTGATAAAGAATATCTAGGCTTTGATTATAGCAATGATAGAGGTCAAAAGCCAACATCTTTCAGTAGATCTGAATATAACAGTTATATCAAATATTTAGGAAAGAAGGAATCTTAAGAGTATATTGAGTTTTCCCCTGGTAGTGGCACACAGAATTCAATTCAGATTCAAAGACTTCCTAAAGGATAAGACTCTAAGTCTTTTCTTTACAACATTTACTGGTAGCCTTCTTTAGGGTAGAGTCAACTTAACTACTCCCTGCCCTTTCCTCCTGTTCACCAATTGATCCCATCTCCTGTAAGATGGACTTCATGTACCCAATGGACACCATTTCAAAATCTTTCTACTTGATTATAGTTAGAAATCACGGGCTTCCCCACTCATTAGTCTGAAGCTATGTCAAAGGAAACACAAACCTGTGATTTACCTATTTCCTCAACAGAGAAACACTTTTGATCCACCATACCACCTTTGTTAGTTAGCTTGATACAGTAGGGGATCCAAATGGAGGTATATGATGAGTTAAAGTAACAGCTATTTTCTCCAGCAGAGACATAATCTGGGCACTCTTTCCATTCTTGGATCCCATCTTGAGTGCTCCTATAATGGGAGGATTAAAAAAAGAATTAATAGTTCTCCAAATCATACCAAAGTCAAAGTGAGGTACTTGTTATCCACTGATGAATTCATGATTTGATGGCATTTTTGGGAAGTGGTGGAAACTATAGAAGGTGGGGCTTAGTTGGAGGAAGTAGGTTATTGGTATATCTTGGCCCCAACTCCTTCTTTCTGTCTGTCTCTGGACTTCCTGGACTTCAGAAGGTAAGTAGCCTCTTCTGTCACATTCCTGCTGTCATGATTTTCTGCCTTGCCACATGCCCATAGCAATGGACTCGGCCAACTATGGACTAAAACCTCAGAAACCATGAGCTAAAGTAAATCTTTCTTCCTTTAAGTTTTTTGACTTAGGTTATTTGTCATAGCAATGAAAAGTTTGACTAACACAGGTGGGATAATTCATTATCAGTTGAGAAGAGGAGTTATGTAAAGGAGACATAAAACTATGCAATCTTTTGTTGAGGAAGCAAGCAGGAATGACCCTGTGCAGGCTTAAGTGCCTGTGGCTGGAAGGCTAGACCATGATGTCTTGGGACCTTTCCACTGTGGGCAAGAAAGGCACTGCAGGCTATGGGAAAGGCAGGGTCTGGAAGGAAGGGATGAGAAGTAGAGAGAAGACACATATTGCTTCTTTACAGCTGCTTCCCAGGCTGGACTGTTTGGCACCAGGAGGAGACTTACACAGTATCAGTGGGTCTTTGAGACAGCTGTGTATCAGCTGTTGGAATGAACTTGAGATTAAAATACAGAGTCTCCAGGGTCTGTAACAGTCAATTATTGCTTAAATTCTGATTGAGATTCTTAAAAGTTGCATGCCCTTGGGTGAGAGAGAGATTCATTACTCATGGGAAAAGAAAATGGGTAAAGGGCAAAAGAAAGGATAATGTCTTTGTGTGTATGTGTATTTAGAGTAACAGAAAATGATTAAAAGATTAGGGAGTTAGGTGAGTCATTTGAAATATAGTACTTTTTGTTTGATCTTAGCATTCAGACTAAGTAAGAGTGAATTAGAGATGGTTTAATAAGATTGCCTATGGAATGAAACTTTCACATAATAGAGGAGAAATCAAATGTACTTATCAAAATTGATAGTATATAACTCAAAGTATTAAAATTTTCCAAAGAGGTAGGGATAATGCTTTGCAGGCCTGGATTTGTAATTGGGATGCCAGCTCTGTTTCTCAATTGGCAATGTTACCATTCTGGTTCCCATGAGAACTGTGTGAAAAACCCTGTTTAGGTTATCCCAAATCCATTAGCTCCAAAGGACAAACCACTGAAAGCACTTAATCTTAAGCAAGATAGATCAGGAACAGCTAGTTCAAAACACAACTCACACACTCCTTCTTCATTAACCCAAACTGAATAAATATTTAAAACTGAGTTCTTAAACTTTTAAATTGAGACAAAAAGCCAAGTGGGTTCATGAAATGGATACTGAATCACCTGCCTTCACTGGGCTGAATTTCTATGCAGATGATTAAAGCCAATTTATGGAAGCTGCTTTCTCCTCTTAGTCCTGAAATTAAGTGCTTCAGGTTTGCTCTCAGACTCTTATGTAAGGAGTGATAACCATAGAGGAGACTATCATTAAAAATCAGAATAAAGAGTGGAAGAAAAGATTTTCATCTAAAGGTAACCCATTGGAGAAGAAATAATAAAAATAAAACATTTGTGTTTTAAGAGCAAATGTTTTCATCACATACTTTTCTTGGCTTAAAATTTAACCCTTAGGGAAAAATAGTAAAAATCCTCTTTCTCCCCTCTAATTTCTCTCCCAACCTTGCACAGAAAATGAAACTTCTTGCAGGGTAACATTTTTTGCGGGGCTGTTGTGGGTGATGGCAGAGGTACGGGATACACCCTTCAGCCAAGGGTCACCCGCCTACTTCCTTTGAACAAGAGACATTTCCCTGGGAAGATCTGAGAACACAGAAGCTCTAATATGCTTCCCAGAGCCTGTGATTCACACTTAATGCTGAGTCCCCTCCAAGGTCAGAGGTCAAATTTGGCAGCATCTGCATTACAGGGTGGTGGAGACTGTTCCGAATCAGTTGCCCTAACTTGCTGAGGCTGCCTCTTCTGCTAATTCACCTGGCAAGAAGCAGAGTCAAGCAAAGATTAGGTGCCTGTGGCCTTGCACCCTAGCTGTTCTGTTGACAGCTCAGTGTGCTTAGATTCCTGTGTACTTTGGATACCATGGCCAGATCAATGACCTGAAGGCCTCTGCATTACTCCTCCCTTGCTCCATTCTGCCTTCCCTGACTATAGTGTTGACTTAAATCATGTCATAGTCTTGCTTGTATGTCAGGGACAAGAATTATAATTCTATAAATTTCAGGAGTTGCTTAGGAATTGAATTCTAAGAAACAATGACAAGAGTCAGAAAGCTCCTTCCTATTGTCTTTTTTGTTTAAATGGGCGGTGAAAGTCTACTACACTTGTACACTGATCAGTGCAGTGTAGTCGTGATCCTCCTAGCCTCCTTATTCTACCCTTGTCAGATAAACAGGGCAGTGGGCTTATGCTAGTTTGGCTAAGATGTTCAAAATAGTTTTGTTTTCATAGACAAAACACAAAATCCTGATATCGAAAGTTTGGATTGGCACTTGACTGTGAGTTTGTACTTAGGGTGTTTAAGAATGTGGTAAGTAGCATAATTAATTTATACATTTTGAAAGTGTTACTAAACACTTTCTGAATATCTTTACATAAACCAGCTTGATTTACACACCTCATGCACATACACACACAGTGCTGACACTATCTTCTTTGTGGCTTTGTTTTTCTTAATAACCTTATGTTACCAGCTAATACTTGTTCTTCATTGTCTGTCTCTCTTCACTGGAAAGGACTCTCCATGAGACCAAGGATTTTATCTTTTTGTAGTCATTTCTGTATCTCCAGTGCCTAAAATAGTACCCTACACTTAGTAAAGGCTTAATGTAAAATGAACAAGTGAAATACACTTAGGTCTTCAAAAAAGTCACTTCTATTTCTTTCCTGCATATGACTCAATACACTTTTATTGACAAATATATGAAGAGAAAAACCAGAAGGCTATACCTTCTAATGTAGAACAGCTGTATGGATCCTGGGGTCTTTAAAGCATGCTGACCCCCATCTGTCCAGTGGCATGAAAAGGTCTCTAGTTCAGGTGAACGGCACCTGGTGAACTTAGGGTTTCCAGAAGAATCTGTGGAACAAAAAAAGAAGGCAGACGTGAAATCAGGAGAATCATACGGTCCCCATGAAATACATATTTAAAGTGTGCAAAGAAGAACTAGTGGGATGAAGCCAGCTGTTTCTGTATCTAGGAGGCAATGCCAATGTCTTCTAGAAAAGCTGTAGTCTTGGATCATCATCTCAGGACCTGTTGCTTGTCAATGTCAGTCCTTGCTTGATTCTACAGACAAATCGTTTTGCCTTTATTTCAAGCATTATTCCATTATTCCGTAGATATCAGAGCTAGCGAGAAGGATATGGGTATAGGCAACTCATTTGGAAAGTTACCTTGGGAACTAGAAGTGAGAGAATGGTCATGGTGGGAAGAGAAGGAAGAACAGCTGACCATGTGTGTGGTATTGAGCTGGTTACTGCAGTGGGCAGTTGGGGGCCCCCCAGAGAAGCTATGTAGAATGTCTCTCTGTTGTTCTACAGAGGGATAGGAGGCTTGCATACCTGCAATGCCCTCTGCCTTGAGATGTTAACTCCCATGCACTGTAGGCTGCACCTGCTCAAAGACTGGTGGTCCTTGCCCAGGCAGAAGCTTGAATGTGCCCAGCAATATGGATGGTAGCAACTGTCCACCACACATGGCTGAGCTGACATTAGGTGCACCCAGGGGATGTGTCATGGTGACCATGGAATCCACTACAGGGATATTTTTTTATTTGTAGACTTTTGATTAAAAAGTCACGTTTTCATTTTTAAAAATATCTTTAAAAAGATTCAGCTGGTAAATTCATTAAATAGAAGCCTCTAAACAACTTATGCAATATATAAGCATCAATTCAAATTTGCCAAGCAGAGAGTCTCTCTTGAGTGTTAGGACATTAGCCCAAATTCCTATGCATCTATGAAACCTGAAGCTACAGATATGCAATGAAGTTTGAAGGAATCAGTTTTCATTGTTTTTATGTCTATGGTCACTTTGGAGATGGTCAGGTTTTTTTCCTTTCACCACCTTCTCCATTTTCTTCTTCTCCTCCTCTTCCTTTGGAGATGGTCAGGTTTTTCTTCTTCTTCTCCTTCCCTTTTTTCTCTTCCTCCTCCTCCTTCATGTTTGACTTTTATATAATTAGTAACCAATTTGATTAAAACCTTAATATATTTGTTCTCTGGCTTAAAACTTTTATTCTTGGCTATTACGGAGGCTCTTAAATGTAAAGTGTTCTTATGAATACTTTAAAAGATCTTGATTCCAAGTTCCAGCTACATACATGGTGTGTTGAAGCAAAGCAAAGGGATGAAATTTTATAAACCTTCTAAACTAATTGTCTAGCCACTCATCCAACAAACACTTATTAAAAATTTTTATGTCACAACTCTTTCTAGGGATAGAGCAATGAACAAACCTGATGAACTTTTGGTGCTTCTGGAGTTTCCATTCTAATGGAGAGGGATAAATCCTATGCAGAAAATAAACAGGGTAAGAAGGGAAGCTAAGGCTGGGAATGAGAGACCTCATCCCTTTTCACAAGTACTCATATTAATGCAGTGAGGAAACTCAGGCTTGGGAAGTGTGTCCTGGTTCAAGAACACCTGTTGTCCTGGAGTCTTGCCACAAGCAACAATTTTGCTGAGCTCATGTCCTTAGCCTTGGGAATACATGTTAGGTAGGGGCAGTGGAAGTTTTTTTCTTAATAACATTTCATGGTCATATTGTTGTAAGAAACCCTCCTTTGCTGTATGAACTGAGAAATTTACAAGAGTGCTGAGGCATGGATTTGATCTGTCCAGGTACCAATGGCAGTTAGTCAGTACTTTCTGTGGGATCAGTGTTTACTAAGCCCTGTTAGAGCAAGGAAGTACAGGAGCCTGCATGATGTGCTACAAATAAATAGAGTGAAAATGGCATGTTTTGTGAGGCAAGCATCTATTATACTGTTAAGTACCTGGAAAAGGTCTTTGTTTGCTATTAGCTGAAACTGAAAGCACTATTTTAGGTCTTTCTAGAAAATTTATAATTACTAAGACATATTTAAACCACAACTATTTCAATGCCTATAGGATTGAGGAGAATATTTCACATTCTAACTGTTCATTTGCACAGAAGATAAGAAGAGGAAATGTACTAGATTAGAATTTGAGAGATTTGTGTTCTAATCATGGCTCTGACAAGTTTTTAATCTTGACTTTCTCAAGCCACTTGGGTTCTTAACAGAGAACCTGGCATAGACAACACAAAGTACATTGCAACATCACTTTTATAATTAAATGATGTATATAACCATTGACAGTACTGCACAGACTAAAACATCTTTTCGTTATTTGAACTAAATAACCAGAGAACACCAAATGCAAACACCATCTAAGTTGCTATATTTCCTGTGTCATATGCCTGTCACATAATGGCAAGAAGGATAAATCAACCCAAAACTTGAAACAAAAAGAAAACAAGAACTTTGCTAGCTGGAAAAAAAAAAAACTTTGAAAGAAGAAAAACACAAAAATTGAAACACATTTAGCTTGCTTAAACTTAGTATTCTGCTTCCTTTTATTATTTCTCTGTTTTCTTTTAATTCCAGATGTATAGAAAACCCACATTACCTTCTCATTCTAAATAAGAAACAGGAAATTCATGGTTGTGGTGCTAATGTGATGAAGTGTGTGCTTACACATGGAATCCTGATACAGACATAGTGCAGCAAAGCTATGTTTATCCTGGTCTTTTCTTTCTTTCCCTTCTTTACTTTCTTTCTACCTTCCTCTTCTCTTTTTCTGTCCTTGTACCCTTCTTCTCTATTTGCTTTTCTCTTTCTTTTATGACTATACATGTCTTGTAAAATGCTGAAGACGACAGTCCCTAAAGTGGCCCTGGTGATTCCAGCCTTCAGTTATTCACAGCCTGAGATATTTCCTCCCCTGAGTAACTTGCTTCTAATCAACTGATTATGGCAGTGTCGAGGGACTGTCATTCCATGACTATGCTACACAAGACTGAGACTTCCGTCTTGCATCAGACTCACTGATTTTTATGAAACCAGTTATTGTGTAGATGGGAAACACATGGCAAAGAACTGGAGGTGGTCTCTGGTCTACAATCAGCAAGAAACTGAGGTCCCCAGTGTACCAACAACCATGTAAGTGAGCACAGAAGCCAGTCCTTCCTAAGTCCTGCCTGCAGGAGAAAAAGGGGAAGGAGAAGAAGAAGAAAAACCTGACCATCGCCAAAGGAAGAGGAGGAGAAGAAGAAAATGGAGAAGGTGGTGAAAGGAAAAAAAAACCTGACCGTCTCCAAAGAGACCACAGACCTGGCTGCCACTTTGATTGCAACCTACGAGACAGATTGCTCTAGGGAACCCAGGTGATGGGTCAATTTGGAGGAAAGGTAGGGGACGTTATTAAATCTTTGAATGCTATTGATAAAGAACAAATGAATCTAATACATCAGAACTAGAAATCAGCATTCTGGAATGAAATAAGCCATCTTTCTTGGCAAGTAGAATGTGTCACAGTGAGTTTGGAGAAGTGGATGACTCCTCTTTTGGCGGCAAGAAGTATAGTGTGACTGGCTAATTAGCTCCTCCTCAGTAACCTCCCACTCCAACTAGCACCACTGTGGCTGGAGATATTTCATACCCCTAAAGTCCACTTCCTTGGTGTCATCCTGAGGTTTTCCAAGTCTAAGAAGTATTGGCATAATCTCAAAATGAGCACCTTTCTAACTGTGCCTGAAAACTCTATCAGAATCTTAGGTTTATTTTTAAAAAAAGCTTTGAAAAGTAAAAAAGAAAAACCTGTTACCTAGAAAAGTTTGAACTAATAAACCTGCTTAATGTTCAGACTGACAGTTTAATTGATTCTGCAAATACAGGATGGTTTCCTGTTTCAACCACATTGTTGTGAACAGTGTGCAAGTCACCACTGAGCCTGAGGCCTACATACAATCTGGTGATGCATTCTGAATCCACATAGGGCTTATTCGTGTGACTTAAAGTTTTGTATATTAATTATATGTATTTGTTGTTAATTAAATTTAGCACAATCATATTACTATAAAAATCTATGCATATAAAATCTCAAATGTACATGAACATATTAATTTAAGCAAAATGTACATTTTGCTCTTCTTTGCAGCCTAATTTTAATATGATATATTACATACTCAAATGTATATTTCATATTCTATATAATTTTGATGGAAATATTGAACTTAGAAATTTTAGTACTGAATTCCATTTACATTATAATGGAAGACAGCCCTCTATGGTATCAACTCTATCAATATACATTAAGTATCTAAGGAAAAGAACCTTGGTTTTTCAAAGGGGAATGGTACATGACTGCACTCCCAGTGGTTGGGAGGCTGAGGCAGGAAGATCATGAGTTTGAGGCCAGCCTGAGCTGTGTAGTGACTTTGAGGACAGCGTGGGCTACATAGTAAGACTGTGTCTTAAAAAACAAAACACCCAACCTAACCCAACCCAAACTAAACCCAAACAAAAACCCAACAAAACAGAACATGACAAAAAAAAAAAACCCAACCAAATAACCCACCCAAACATAGAGTTACTCTACAACCCAGCATTTCTGCTCCTAGATATAGTCCCAAGAGAACTGAAAACACATGGTGACACAAAAGTTATGTACAAGACTGTTCACAGCAGCATTATTTGTTATAGTCAAAAGTAGGGACGACCCAAATGTCCATCAGCTGATGAGTGAATAAACACTACATGGCATGATGATATAATACAATATTTATTATTCAGCCACATAAAGGAATAACACACCAAAACAAGACACAAAATAGATGAGCACTGAAAACATTTTTCCATGTGAAAGAAGCCAGACACAAAAATCACACACTATAGCATCCCATTTATATAAAATGCTCAGAATAGTTAAATTCATAGTGATAGAAAGATTCGTGGTTACCAGAAGGTGAAGTAAATGGGAAATGGCAAGTGATTACTAAATGGGGTATGTAAATGTCCTAGAATTAGATAGTTGTGATGGCTACATAAAGTT